GCCTTGGATTTTTTTTTTTTTTTCCTCTCTCCTTTCCAAATTCCCGTTGCGTTTTTTTGCATGTTTTTCCTCTCTCCCCCTCCCCCAGGTGGCCTGGCCGGATACTCTCTCAATTCTTATGATTATTTTCAGAAACGGTGAACACTTCTTCTTCTTCCTCTCCTTTCTGCTTGTGCTCGCTGGCCATGGTCGTCGCCGCCGCTGCTCCGCGGGCCGGCTCTCGGGTCAAAACTGGCGGGCAAGCTGGGCGAACGGGAGGGCCAGCAACCACGCGCAGCTGCCTCGCCGCCACGCGCCGTTGTTCCCATCGTGCACTGCGCCGGGGCCTGCGGGAAGGAAGAGAAACAGCCGCGTGGTTAGCCACAAAGCCAACAAAACCCATAAAACAAACAAACAAACAAAACCAATGAAACGACACCATTTGGGCCTCTGGTGCTGTTGCACGTGGTGGCATTGCCCAGTGCAAGAGCAACCTGGGCACGTGCTGTCCTCAAGAGTGTGGCTCCAGCCATCCCCGTCCCCGCCGACCCCAGTCTTTGGGACACAATCCCCCCGTGGTCCCGCTTCAGCCCTGAGTCCCCATCCCAAGACCATTGCCACCAACCGACCGCTTCCAATGCCCTTTGCCCCTTCTCCAAAATTTGTCCAAGTTCCCAACCACACTTGTAGGGGAGGGATAGCTTTTGCTCAACACTGCCCGCACTCTGCCAGCCCCGGCGAGCCGGGCACAGGGGCTACCACCCCGTTGTTCCCCACTTGTCTCCCTTGGGGGGCCACAATCACCACCTGCCCACCCAGCAGGGACACTGCCAGCAGCACTACACTTGGGACTCGGTGTTTTGTATCTCCCCTGTGTCCTACTGACAATGTGCTCTGCTCACGGGCGTGGACCATCTCAAGAAGAACAAGATGGGACAAGGAGGGTGGTCAAGAAGAGCCAAGCCTATCCACGCCTTTGGGGATCACGGTGGGTGAGGAGCTCATAGCTCACCATGGGAAAGGATGTGGAGGGTACCTGACCCAATGGCTTTCACCAAAACACCCCAAATAGTTGGCCCAGGGGAACACGAGGCTGGGAAAAGATCTCAAGAAGGCATCGAGGCTGCCAGAGCAGGGCTGCTCACAAGGTCTGATCGACCCGTGCTTTTGAAACCCTTGACTTGACACATCCCCTCGCTTCAAAGCCCGACCGGGGCACTGAGAACCATTAACCCTTTGGTCTGCTGCTAGTAGCACTCTTCCAACACACTCACAGACACCTCACAACGCTTCCCGCTTAGCCCCAAATCCTGGCATGGCTGGGAAGCCGTGTGCAAGGGCGGATCTGGAGACACTACCTCTGTAGCCCGAGGGCTGACCACTCAATGCATCACAAATGAAGCTGCCTGGCTATGGAACCCCAAAATCAAGATGACACGAAGACAGCTGGCCGGCTGATAAGATTGCATGGCAGAGCGCCGGCCACCCTGGCCATGAATAACACTGGGAAGAGGACCAGACGCCTCTCCACCCCTACTGCATCCCGGAAAAAAGGCACTAGGAGCATCCCAGAGGAGGAAGAACCTGCCACAAGACCCATTTACGCAGCAACACGAGGAAAGCGGACCACAGAGACATCCCTGCTTTTGCCCCGGCGACAGGGAGGAGAGCACAGTGGTGATGGGGAGGGAGCGAGGGACCGCGGCGGGGGAACAAGGCATGCAGAGGGCACAGACCACCACCAGACGGGCACAGCAGGCTGGCGGGGAGGAGGCAGGATGGGAGGGCAGCTAGACAACAGCGAGAAAGCCCTAATTCATCGCTATACCAGCAGGAGCGGTGGGGTGGGAGGTCGAGGCGGCGGGTGCCACGGCTCCCACCGGGAATACTTGGAGTGGGAGCTGGAGGGGCCCACGAGGAAACGGAATGGGGGGAGTGCTGGCATTGCAGGGGCCCCAAATTACTGACCTTTCCAGGGTGTCAGAGCGGTAGTTGTCTCTTCTAAAAATTAAAGAACAAGCGAAAGTTAAGGCAAAAGGGCAATGGAAAGTGCAGGCTCAAGACGCTTTGCTCGGCCTGCCCTCAACCTGGGGCTGGGGAAAATAAGCAGATGGGGTAGCAAGTGTGATGCTGCTGCCCGAATTGTGCCCTGGTCCTCTGGGACCACAGTCCCCCTGTCCGGGAAGAGTACTACACGGGCTGAGACGAGCTGCCTGCGGGACCCCAGAACTGGGGGGGGCCTGGCAGAGTCTGCAGTTGCACCCCGAACAAAAAGCAAAGTGCCGGGGCTGGGATTTGGGGGATTTTGGGGGTTTGCCTCTCCCCCGTGCTCCTCCTGTTCCCCTCCACCGCGGATTCGCTGCCCAGCCCTCTCAATAACCCTGCAACATCCCAAACGGATTTATTGCCTGACAGTAGCCTCTGGGAAGCGATGCAGACCACACAACGGGGAAGAAGTGGAGGGCTTTTTTTCCCCCAACTCCACAAACTGATGTAGTTTCACCCAGCACTCCATCACATCACAGACAGCACCAAATGAGCCGCTGAATGAGGCGGCAGGCCTATAATAACAAGTGCTACATGTTAAATAAAGCAAAAGTTGACCTCCCTGAAAAATTAGATTAGAAAAAGGATTAAAAGATGTACGCTGCATTAGCCTCTGTCGCACAGCGCTGGAAAGGCTCGTGTCTCGGTACCCACAGGGATTAAACCTCCATTTGGGGGGGGAAGAGCCCAAAACACTTGCTTGGCCTCAGGAAAAGGGGATACACACAAAATTCGTCCCCCAAAACCACACCGGTGAGACGTCTCTCATGCCACAGGTAGCACAGCCATCGCATGCCACTTCCCTCTCATCTTTCATTACAATAAATACAGACACATTAATTGCCGGACTGAAGGATCTGGTTGCTTAGGGACCGGCAAACTCGGCCTGATGACGCTCAATAGCGGTGCGCAGGGCCACCCGCTTTGCTGCTAATTACGGGGGAGTTGTTCCTGGCAGTGCTGGGGAGCCCTGTGCGAGGAGACGGGGGACCCCTGCACATCACGGTCCCCTCGGGTCCACCGTGGTTTTGGGTGGCCTGGGGAACCATTTCCCCCACCAAGGGGACTCAATTAATAAAGACTGAAAGGATCATTCAATCAATGTGGCTTTATGGAAATTACGGCCGGTCAAAGGACTCTGATTTCATTCCCTGATGGGAGTCGCTGTCAGACCGACAAAGGGGGATCATGATATAGGCTTAGACTTTGGCAGGATGCTTCACTGTGTCCTGCCCGACGCTGCCATGACGGCACGAGTCATACAAAACATCGCTCATGGGTCAGAAACCAAATACCTGACAGCTCTCAAAGCCATCAGCAGGGAGAAGTTGTCTTTAACTTGGGGGGCTTTTCATCCAGGCTGCATCTGTGGATGCCAGACTGAGGTCCCCCGCTACTTAAGATTTTAATCCCATAAACCCGTAGGGAGCCTACGACATCGAGTCTAACGATGTACGCATAGACCAGGCTACGCCGGCTGCTTGGCACAGCCACCCTGAGGATGGACCCAGGCCAGGGCAGCTCTGCGATGCCACAGGTGTCCCGTCTCCCTGAAAAATGGGGTTATTGGGGACACCGATTACCAGGAAGCCCTGTGGGGAAGAGAGCCGAGGTAGTTCCTAGGCAACGCTAATGATGGCTTAACAGGCAGGTAAAGACGCTAATGTTCATCACTTACAGCAGGGACTTTTTTGGGGGACAAATTAGGCTCATTGACATCCAAGGTTAGCTCAAGATCCGACATGGGACTAACTCCTCTGCCACAGCTCAGGGGAACTTGATGCAACTGCTGATACCGAGAGCAGGTGAGGACAAGCCCTTCCTGCGATGCCGCTCCCGGCATCCTCCGCACTCTCCAGAGAAGCCCCTTCCCTGGCCTGCGGCTCCCCTGAACCACGTCCTGAGGACAGCAAGAAGCAGACATCGCTTCCCAGGGTCTCAACACACCTTGCTCAGCATGCTGCAACGACGTGTGTACGACACACGCTTGGGGACTGCCCGCTATCCTGGTGTGCTCTGCACCGCTAAGCACCCAGCCTCCCAGCCCTGAGCCGCCCCACCGAGGGACCTGGGGATGAGGAAAGCTCGTCTCCCCCTCTGCTCCCCTCCAGACAGGTGAGGAAAAGACAAGGCAGAAGAGCCAGGGACACAATGCTTTGCAGCACAGAGCCTTGCAAGTCACTCGGCACACGCTGCTTGAGCTTGTGCACTCAGAGAAAACAATGGAAGAGAAAAATTACATGACGATGGATTATTTATGACTTTGCAAAGACACCGGCATGGGAGATGCCCGGGATGATGGCAGCTGGTTGCCAATACATCGTCCCTCTTGCAAAAGGGTGACAAACACCACCGAAGCACCTACCAAGCCCCGGCCAAGCTGGTCACCACACCCACTCACGCTGAACCAGGAAAGCTTCCCACGCACATACACGATGACAGAAGGAAGACACGAGATTGACATTGCCTTCTGCAAAGATGTGCAGGAGGACAGCGGCAAAGAGGCCAGCTTTCTGGGGACACCCTTCCTCCTACCCTGCAATGCTTCCTTCCTTTTACTGGGTTTTCCTTCCACTTCTTGCAATCATCACATGCCTACAAGCTGGCCGAGCCCCCACATTTGGACCCACTGGCACCCTGCTGTGCTCCAGCCCCATCTCTCCTACAGAAGAGGTCTCCTGCGTGGTCTCTGTGGGTTTAATTAAATCCTTTGTACATGCTAGGAAAGGGTTTGCAATACCAGGACAGCTTGAGGCCGTAGGAAACCGGCACTTTCCATCAAACGCTCTTAGCAGTGATTAATGCTAATGTCCAGACTGCTCCATGGTTCGCTTACCACGGGCCGGTATTAATGTCACCCACGGTCAGCGCTCGCCATGGGGTGGGACTGGCAGGGGGAGGGTGGGCAGCAAGGAGGACAACAAAGTCGGGGTGACATCAGGAGAGGCCAGAGGTCCCCAAGCCCTGTTTCTCCCGTATGGTTCAGTGGTGAGAACTGCCCGCCTTGTATCCCGGGCAGGGAAATATCCCCACAGCAGCAGCTGGGGACGAGGTCTGCCGTCCATCTCCAGCTCTTGGTGGCCGTGAGAGGGATCTGGGGAGTGCGGCCCTCTGCTTTGGCTCTGCTGCCACCTGAAGAGGCTTGACAAATGTATCGAGCCATTACAGACCTTCCCAGACAGTGTCAGATGGATGTACCCCTCTCATGACAGCTCTGGCAAGCAGAGAAAACAGCATCTGGATGAGGGTACAAAGCTGCTCCTGCTCCCACCCGCTGCACCTTCCCGCCTCTCTCTGGCACCATCAGTAAGAATATATCTGCTTGGCAGGAGCAGCAAACATGACCTGGAAGGTGGCGGAGCTACCGGGACTGCTTATTCTTGGGCGGGCACGGGGTGCACCACACGGCAGCCCGTGGCGTGGTCCCGCAGGTTTGCCGCAATGGCCCTAGTGCCATCTCTCCTCAAGGCAGGAGGATGCCTTGAAACAGAGACTCTCCTAGGTATTCATCAGACTGAGAAGATGAAAACCCACAGCAAAGTCCTAATTTTGCATCGACAGCAGACCCTGAACACAGTGCCAAACACCTCAGAGCAGCGGCAGACATGGGACCCGAGTCAGGAGTTAGGTTTGGAAGCTTTCACGTTTTCCCTGGGCTCGCCACAACCTCCAACCCAGGTGCCGGGGCAGAAAGGATCAGCAGCAAACGCACCTCTCCCCCAAAAGACAAGAGAGACCCTTCCCATGTTTCACACGTCGGCGGTCTCACCACTAAGCCGTGCCCCCTCCCCGGCCAGCTCCCTCAGCGTTACTCACCGTAAAGGATCATGCTGGCGTTGGTGTTTCCTAGCTGGTTGGAGGCTACGCAGGTGTAGTTGCCGTAGTCCTGCTCGGAGACGTTGAAGAAAGTCAGTCTGGAGAAGAAGGCTTTGTTCTCCACTTTCAGTCCTTTCTGTCCTTCAGCCAGCCTGGGGGAAAGGCAGAAGGGGAGAGGGTCATGGGGACAGCACTGGGAGGAGAAATACCCGCTATCTTCCGTGACCCTGGTCCTGCCTGAGAGTGGGGACATCAAGCTTGGGGGAAAGAGCAGGCATGAAGGGGAGGTATTGGGAGAGATATGGGAGATGGATGCTGCCCTATTGGGTCTTGCCCCTTAGCTGTCAGCCCCCATGATGTCTACAGGCATCCTCACAGATGCAGAGTCACTGCTGAAGGGGATGGCTTTGGGGCTTGCCAAATGCTGTGCAGAGGGAGGGATGCTCACACGCCCACGGAGGGTGCCTGGGAAAGGCTCCTTCCCACCCAGAAGAGCCTGGCTTCCCTCTCATGTTGGCCTCAAGGGCTCCTCAGTCCTCCTGGCTCTGCGGGACGCCTTCCCGCACCTTCCCCTTCCCTGACCCCCGTCAGCTCCCCGCATGCCCCTGACGGGGCTGGCAGCACGCTCAGGCAGCAGATGCTGCTGCAAACCCCTTTGGTGGACCCAAATGGCGGCACCGCGGCGGGCTCTGCACTGTGGAGCGGGCAGGCACTTCCCAGCCATCGCAAATGGTGAAGCCTTAACTAACTGCTTTGACTTCCCTGAACTGCTGTCGCCCTCCCGCTTCGCTCCTGCGGCACTTTTAATTGCTAATTCCTCCCAGGAGGTGCTGGGTCCCCATTATCACCCCTGCCGGCTCTGACTGCCGATCCGGGCGGGCTGAGCCCGCTCCTGCCACTGCTTCACCGGC